AAAAAAAAATACTAGCTAGAGCTTATCCTTGACATTTTTAATTGTAAATATTCCAAACATTGACAAATAGAACCAATGCTCATTTACCCACCACTGAGATTAAATAAATACAGTGGAACCTCCATAGCTGAGCCCTTCCCTACACTGACCTCCTTAAAGTGGTCCTAATTTATAGACCAGCCATGTGCCACATGTATGAACATGTACAGAGGCCTGTTCCTTATGTTGACCACCTCTGTATGTTCATTACAGTTCCTTGGGTGGTCAACTCACAGAGGTTCTTTCTACTGCATTGGCATTTTCCCGTATTTACTTGATTCTCTTTTCCTAAATAAATAAACAAACATTACAGGTGCAGACAGGCCCCTCCCTCATTCTCCTCTCTCCCTTTCTACCAGGGATAATCATCCCCTGTTTATCTCTCCTAAGGCACCTGTGTGAACCACTTGGTGCAGTTAGATTCATCTTCACCCTGGACTTTCATTCAATCTCCTTTTTCTTCTTTGAGGCCCAGTTCAGTTCCCCCCTTTACTGGTAAGCTTCCTCACCAACCCCCTAGTTTCTTTCTTTCTTTCTTTTTTTTTCTGAGACAGAGTCTTAGTATGTCGCCCTCAGAGAGTGCTGTGGCATCACAGCTCACAGCAACCTCCAACTCGTGGGCTTAAGCCATTCTCTTGCCTCAGCCTCCCAAGTAGCTGGGACTAGAGGCGCCTGCCACAAGGCCAGGCTATTTTTTTGTTGCAGTTGTCATTGTTTAGCAGGCCCAGGCCGGGTTCCAACCTGCCAGCCCCGGTGTACGTGGCCAGTGCCCTAACCACTGGGCTCCGGGTGCCGAGCCCAACTCCTTAGTTTCTAACTTGTTCCACAAGTTTATTGTCTCCGTTGCTCAAGGCAGACAATACTCTGCCCTGTGACGGTTTTTATGTGGCAGCTTTCTCCTAGCATTGGGTGCCTGTTCCCCTTGAGGTGCATTTTCCCTCTTGCTTTATAGTACAGGTGATTGCCTTCAGGCATTTCTTCTCTACACGGCAACAACCTTAGGAATAAAAGCTGAGTCTTAGTTGCATTGGTTCGTTCATTCTACACATAGTGGCTGAGGGCCTACTGAGAAGCTCCAGGGACTGCTTTGAGCACTGGGGGACAGGTGTAAACATGACAGCCAATCAGTGCCCACCAGGGACTGAGATGCCAATGGGAGGAAAAGGGAAGCTACATGATTGGACGACTATGTCAAGGCAAAAAGTCTCAAGGAGAAAACAGGAGCAGGAAAAGCCTAAGGTGCTGTTTCAGACATACCGTAAATGTCTGCATATACGTGTAGACACACATACATGTATACTAACGTACACGTAGTCTATGCTCTGTGTCGGTGCTAAATGCGGAAACACTTGGTTCCTATGTGTGGACTGGCCGTAGGTCCAGATACATAACATTAGATTCCCTGCCAGTGAGACCCCGCCCTGTGTTAGCCATCCCTCTAGGAAGGTGGTTAGAGGAGTGCAGATTTAATCCTCTGCTGCCGGAGCACATCTGAGTTGTTCTTCCCATTTTCCGTAGATGTGCAGTCTGGGAATGATAATAGATTTTAATACAAGCCTAAGTAAAGCACAATTAGGGAGGAAAGACATGCTTCCCAGCAACATACGCTAACTGCACAGTCAAATGGACCGAATTTGGCATCACCTCTCCTATTGCTCTTTAGCCATCCAACCTTTGAAAGGTTCACTATTTGCAGAGTTCTTAAAGGCAGAGGTATCAAGCTGTGTTACCAAAAAGACCAATCTCCTGTTTTTAATTCTTCTAGCCTCCAGGAAAGGATACAGTCCCTCAACGTGTCCCTAAAAGAAATCACTACTAAGGTAAGTACGTTTATACTTCAGTTTTCCAAAGAACTCTATACAGTTTCCTTTTGACTTAATTTCACGTCTAGATAGGAATACCTCGTCTCTGGAAGGAGCATGGACTTGGCCGAGCCATTTTGCAGGACCAGCCATGAGCCAGAAAAGCCAGGGGGGAGGCCTGCTGTGGTGGCAGAGGTCTGGATTTGTGGTCCCCCAGAAATGGACTGGTTTGGCCTTTGCTTCAGAAAGAGCCATCAGTTTATAGACAGGAAAGAGACTGCTGCTGTGCATATTGAATACCTTTGCTTAAAAAGCCTTCCCCGATTGGGAGTAATTTGAGAAATTAATTACTTTTCCTCTCGGGAGGGCTCTTCACAAATGGAAGTGGATAGTAGGTGATTGTTTTTTGTTGTGTAGATTTTTCAGTTAGGTTGAGAATCACTCTGCCTACTTTATTGGTTGTCGATATTACATATCAAGACTTTGGTTGGTGTAGAGAAAGACACTTCTTCATTATTTCCTGAGAGCACATAGTCAGTTAAATCATAAAGTCGTGTCCTATTAGTTAGGGTAAGCACAGTTTATAAAACAAAAGCCTTTCCCTGCCTACACTGTTATACCCGACTGAGTTATAAGCAGGGTCAATTACTCTGTGAATTACTGCTCAATGTTGTGGCAGAGAACTGGGTATACATCGATAATTATTTGCAGTAGGTCTGGGAACCAGGGTGTTGTAAGATGGTCCACATATAAAAAGGACAGGTTGCTGAGCAGAGAGCAAAGTAGCCAAGGAGAGCCCGCTGGCCTGGAAGGAATTGCTTCTTGTCTCTGTACCCAGAGAAAGAAAGTCGTGGACCCTCCATCAGGAAATATGCTAAGGGTCACACAGTGTTACTGGAGCTAAGCTGAAATTGGGGACTTGGTGGTGGCAAAAATGCCCACAGTCACTCTGGCCCTTTTCTCAGTTTTTTTTTTTTTTTTTTAATTGAATTCATTTCTGAAAATGATTTTGCTGACACAGCAGCAAGTTTGAGGGGTGGTAATAGTACCTTGCGTCCGAGGAGAGCTTCCTGTTAGGAGCAAGTGGTACTCATAATGTGTCATCGGGACGAGGACCCAGGAATGCCTGAAATCTGCTCTGCTGTCCCTGAGAGCATTTACCAATGTTCACCCACATGGAAGACAAGCACGACGAGACTCTAAGCACTGTGGGGACCGGCGTGCCAGGGCACAGCTCTAGGGAGGGACCAGGCAGGGGCTGGGCTTTTACGTCTCCTCTCCCTGCTCCCCCGAATCTGCACCTTAGCCTCCCGTGTTGGTTGGGGCCGAGACCTTTTCCCCTGCCCAACTGTGAGGATAAACTATGCCTTGGTTTACCAGTTCTAGTACATGAAGCAGGAGAGGAAATGTTAGAAGGTGACCTGAATTTCTGCCTGGTAAGTTGCAGGAACACTGCCACTAGTACTCGGTCCTGTGGATGTCTGCTCCTGTCACCTTTGGAGGAGCCAGTAGGGAGGTAGGGAGAGGCAGAAGTTTCTTGGCAAGGAAGAGGTGGTATTCCTTCCCCTCTGTCTTCTATTGTAAATATCTGCCATTTCTTTTTTATCAGACGCTTCCTAATTTCTGTGTAGATTGAAAAGGTGAGAGGATGGTCTTGGGTGTGGGTTTGTTGACTATCTTCACTTCCCTCTCTGAGTAATAGGAATGAGTCTACCTATGCACGTGCAGTGAGTATACCGACATACATATTATATAAAACAGATGGTGTGCATGTGGGTGTGATGTGTTGATGACATTTTACGTTGTGGACACACATATACGCATACATAATACTGGAATTTGTTGATAAGCTCCAGCCACTATTGAAGATCTTGGGTTTGCCCAAAGACAGTCTGCGTACTGTTTTGTCCACTCAGGCTGCTATAACAAAATACTGAAGGCTGGGCAGCTTATAAACAATGGGCATTTATTGCCCACAGTTTTGGAGACTGCTGAGACCCGGGTGCCAGCATGGCTGGGTTTTTTCACACAGTAGACAGAGGGCAAGAGAGCTCTCTGGGGCCTATTTATAAGGGCACTAATCCCCTTCTTGGGGGCTCTACTCCCATGCCCTTTATAATCACCTCCCAAATACTCCACTTCCGAATACTGTCAGTGAGGATTTCAACATGTGGATTTTCTGGGGAGGGGGGCATATAAGCATTCACACCATTGCACATACCTTCTCTGATGCAGTCACCAAAAACTTATAAATTATTTTGATTTTCCATAAGATTAAGGAACCTTGTGTCTTAGATTTAATAGTGTAAATCTAACAGTTCCGTTTGATATTAAGTTCCTCAGGGTCCAATTTTATTTGTAAATCAAAAGTAGATGCAGATTTCTGAGGCATGTGTATATGTGTGCGTAGAGGTAGACAGATACATGTGCACATATGTGAATTTGCGTGTGTATGTGCGTGTGTTTGGCCTGTATTAGTCTATGGAGAAGGAGAACAGAACTGTCTAATCACACAAAACACTAGGTTCTCTACTCTAGGCTAGATTGACAGGTGGCAATGAGGTAAAAGTCTCAGTTTGGCCCAGTTTTCTTTTTCTAGTGTATTAGAAACGCACACACACACACGGGCACACACACCCCCCTCCCCCAGATATTCTGTAAATTCTTCCCTCAGAGAGAGAAATGGAACCTTCATTGCAATCATTACACTTTTTCAACTCTTGTGGCTTACCCAACCGAGGGTGATTAAGGGATAAATTAAGTGGAAGAAGTAGTTGGAAATAAACGGGATTTCTGGAGACTGGTAGATATTAGATTATATCCAGCAAAGCCTAAAAGAATGAACATTGCAATACAGTAAGAAGTTTCAGAGAGGTTGTTTCATATTAATTGTGACAGCTGGAAGGATAGATTTGCTCAATAAAGGAGAAACTGACCTAATTATGATTAACAGATACTGTTAACTAAAATCAGAAATATTGAACACAGATTGGATGAGACGGAAGGATTATGGCTGGTGTCATAGAGCTAATGGAAAAGTCTTTGGAATTCTGATGACATTCTTAAGTGGATTGGATGGGACATTCCAGTGACTGGGGCATTCAGCTGGCCAGAGACTTGGTGCTGAGGGGAAGGTGTCTGCAGAATCTTTCTTTTGACTCTGGTTCTGATTCCTGACAAATCTCGGGACCCTTGAAAGTGTCCTGAAATTAATGACTGGATGTGTGGGCGCTCCACACCACGGTGCAGGCTTTGGGCTACCGAGCCATTGTCTTCATCTAGAGAGTGAGTTTATAAAGAAAGGTTGGAAAATTACAGCCACCGAATGGAAAAGAGCACGTGCAACTCCATGAGAGAAACAGTGGAGTGTTCTAGGCAGGATGGGCGAGGTCTGCTTTGACTCTAAAAATAATCTCAGTTCAGCCTGAGATAAGTAACACATTTCACGTCGATGAGACCTAGCAAGACCTAGACTCTTTGGGAAATTAAATTTTATATTTCTCTGGGCTCTGTGAATCCCACCAGGTTAATTTTAGTTTTAGAGTGGCATCTCAGATTTTTGGCAAGAAAAGAATGATGCTTTTAGGTAGAATCCGTTGTGGTCAGCCCCCAAATATCTCCACAGATACCTTCATGCCTACTAAACCCATGCTCTGTGTACTTGTTGAAAAGGAAATTTTTTCTAGATAGCTCATTAATCTGAATGTAGATAACATTTGAGGAAGAGATTTTAGCTTTAAATGAGAGGGAAAAATGTGATGTTTTGCCCCCCCCCCCAAAATAAAAGATAATCTGAAGATATTTGGAAAAAGAAACTGAGATTTAAGATCTTTGCTACTTTTGAAAAATCAAAGAAAAATGTAGGACATGTTTGGAGTGTCATGAGAAAATAAACGCGAAAAATCTTCAAACTTCACCAAGAGTCACTTGTCTGCTTTTCATATCTGACTCACCAGCAAGAGTCTGTCTGTCCTCAAGGTTTTCCTGGACAGCGTCCACTAGTAATTAAATTTAGCACGAAGCTCTGACCTTCATCTACACGGGCTTGTCTTTGTTACTGCCTACTATGTGTCTGACAGACAGCTTGTATCCAAATAGAGCCACAAGGTAAACACAAAGGAACATAAGGAAATAGTATGCTGGCCCAGGAGGGTGCTGTGGAAGACTTCAAAGGGAGGGGGCACAGGGAGGTGGCTGTAAATGGGTAGGTGATCAGTAAGGCCTTTTGTCCCAGGCCACCGTTGAGCAAGGAGAAGGCAGAAGTGATGAAGTCATTTTAGTCTGTAGTTGCTCACTGTTGTGTTAGCTCATTAGTTTTGTGTTTGAGTGTGGTGAAGGGCTAGGAGCTATGACAGAAATGCGCCAGTGCCTGCCTGCCTGCTTGCCTTCTTTCCTTCCTTCCTTCTCTCCTTCCTTCCTTCCTTCCTTCCTTCCTTCCTTCCTTCCTTCCCTTTCTTTTTCCATTGCTTGCTTTTAAAACACTCTCCTCGGATTACTCTTTATTATCCCTTTTAATGCCTCCTAAATCCAGAAATCTCTGACCTGGCTGTTGCACTGCCTTCTGGTTTTTAGCTGTGTAAATGGTGACTCCTGGCTATTTCTCTCCTTCTAGGTGTGTTTGAGTGAGAGACTCTGCAGCACTCTGAGAAAGAAGGTTAATGACATTGACACCCAACTGCCGGCATTGCTGGAAGCCAAAATGCTTGCCATCTCAGGTAAGTGGTAGCAGGGGTGATGTTGAAGTAGTCCTACTGAAATGATGATGACAGCTGCCACCGCATCATGCTCTGTCCGCAGTCAACATCCTGTCCTTGTTGTGGTCATCCTTGGACATCTCTAAGCTTTTCTGGGGAGTTTCACTGAAACACAAAGAATAAGTAGGCAGCATGATTTCCTTATAAGAATATAGACAAGACTCTTAAAAACCATATGCACATGTAATATAGCATAGGCTGTTCATGTAGTTATCAAATTTTGCACTTCCGGTTCCTGTTTCTTGAAGAGTTTAGAGACTCAATGTTCTGGGCGGGTAATGTGGCCCCAGTGGATGTCTATGGCACAGGTGTCATGTGTGCTTGGTGAGGGTTGTTGGATCAAACTCTTCCTGGAGGGGGAGAATGATGACATGACACCAGTGGAGGTTCTCAGTTTAAAACTCTAGTCATGGCTCGGCACTTGTGGCTCAATTGGCTAAGGCGCCAGCCACGTACACCCAAGGTGGCGGGTTCAAATCCAGCCCGGGCCCGCCAAACAACAATGACGGCTGTGACCAAAAAATAGCCGGG